CCTCTACTTCCTAAATTGGCTCTACAGGTGTGCACAGCCGTGCCTGGTAAACCTGTATTATGATGCCGTTAGGACTCTGAGCCATTGTAACAATCTTAGCACAGGTGGAAAACCCCTAATCTGAAACATTCTGACATCCAAACCCCTGGAATATGAAGAACTTCTGTTTCCAGGCATTTCAGCTAAGGTGTACTCATTCACTTATGTACCTTATACTTTTTAAGAAAGCTGATGTCCTTCTTCTTAGGCTGCTAGGTAATCTGCCTTTATTTTTCTCTTGGGAAATAAATTTCTATTGTGTTTTCCTGTTAGTTGTCTCGTTCCACAAGGCCATGAGACTTGAGTCTTCGTGTGAGTCATTGTCTTGATTGGTACTCAGTGGGTCCTCGGGGGGTGACAAGTCCCATCTTCAGTTCTGTGAATGTCTTGAGTCATGTCTTAGTTTATCTGTCCTCCGTCTGTCTTATCTTCAGTATGAAATGCCTATTAGGTAGGTAGGGGGCCCCTTCAAAAGCCTGAGCCTAGGAAGCTCTCTGGCTCCCCACGCTGGCTGGGTTTGTGGAGTGAAGAGAGGCCCTCAGAGATAACGGACTAAAACATGGCACTGTTGCCAGCACAGTTAGGGGTCAGAGCCTGGGCCCCGCAGCCCTGCAGCCCCCACAGCCCTACCCCAGGCTCCACCCCTGTCCTCAAGGGGCCACCTGAACAGAGAAGTAATGCTGGGAAGCAGAGAGACGGGGAACAACTGAAAAGATCCAGTGACATCTCTCCCCTTCACCTTCAGGGTCCTGACATGAGGTTTAGGTTCAAGCAGAGGGCATAAGGAATGCCTCGGTGTGCAGTCCTGGTGAGACCCGTCACTGACAGTCTTCCTGTCAGGACTGTGAAATCTCGTGGGAGGCAAGCTCCTCTCTGACTGGCACCAGGCCTTGGCCTTCTCCTTCTCTTGGCAGGAGATTTCTGGGGAAACGCCATATCGTGGGAATCATTGTTGTACTAGTCTGGAGGCTGAACGAAGGGGCACAAGAGTCTCTTGAGTAATCTTCACCTCTACTTGGATGATTCCAGAGTCATTTCTTGATGAAGACAAAGCCAGTAAGCACAATCCAGAGATAAGAGTGAAGAGTGTCCTGGAAATCCCTCCCTCAGCAATACTGGGGTTGGAAATTGTTTTTTTTTTTTTTATCACAATAAACAGAAACAGGGAATTGAATCTTAGTTGGCTCTATTCAACATGCTGGGAGACCTGGGAAGCCTGGGGGAGACCCGCCTACCTATGTGTCTTCTCTTACTAGCCTGTTTATAGAGAACAGGGAACAGCGGTGTCTTAGGGTTTCTATTGCTGTGAATAGACACCGTGACCACAGCAACTCTTATACAGGAAACATTTAATTGGGCGTTGGCTTGCAGTTCAGAGATTCAGTCCATTACCGTCATGGCAGGAAACATGGTAGAGTACCGCTAGACATGGTACTGGAGGGGGGCTGAGAGTTCTGCGTCGGGATCTCCAGGCAGCAGGAAGGAAGATGAACCACTGGGCCTATGCTGAGCTTCTGGAACCTCAGTGACATGCTTCTTCCAACAAGGTGCTCACCTCCTAATGGTGTTACTCCCTATGAGCCCATGGGGGCCATTTTTCATTCAAACCACCATGTTCCACTCTCTGACCCCCATAGGTTTGTGGCCACATCATAAAGCCGAAATGATTCAGTCCAACTTCAAAAGTCCCCATAGTCTATCACAGTCTCAACCCTGTTTCGAAGTCTAACGTCCAAGGTCTCTTCTGAGACTCACTGTCTTAACTGTAACCTCCCGTAAGATCAAAACAGAAAAACCGATGACGTACTTCCATCTAACGGCACAGGTTAGACATTACTGTTCCAAAGGGAGGAAAAGTGTGCATAGTGAGGAAATATTCAAACCACAAGAGGCAATAAATAATTTTAGAGTTTAGTCTTGGCCCCCTGGCCAGGTGTTTGGCCTGTCTCTGAGATACCTTAGCAGGGGAGGGCTGGCCAAGGTCACCGAAGCTTGCATTTCTCCAGAACCAATTTGGACAACATTCAGATTGAAAGTTAACTCCTGAACAAACAAAACATTAGCAATGCATGCTTGCAAGCTGCTGACAGCGTACACTCACGGATCGCGTCCTAGAGAATGGGGTGCAAATGTGGTCTTGTAAGTTATTTTTCTAACTCAAAATGAAACATGAATGTACCCTATTTGTCCTCAGTAAAAAGATTAAATTGGAGCCACTTATGCCTGTTCCTATGGGAGACTTAGCACAGGTCAAGGCAGGGACACCTCTGAGCATGCACAAATCATGCCTTGCATGGGCAAAATGGTGGACAGGAACTTCTGGACAGAGAGTGTCAGGATAATGAGGCTGTAACAGACAAAGTGCGAGTCAGGCAGAAGAGTACGTCAGAATGGCTTGGCAATTTTGATGGCTTTGTTAGGGTTTTCTCTGCAGGGCCTTATCTGAAACAAAGGACAACTTGAAGGGACATTAATAGTCATTTAAAGCAGCAGGTGCACAGCCCTAAGATCTCTTACCTAGCAGTTAACAATTGTTTATTTGTTTGTTTATTTATTTATCGCAACAACTGTTTCTTGAATCGACCCTCTTCCAGAAATAATCACGAATGATAACCACCATTTGTACATATGAAAATAAAAGTCCTTCCACACTGCTCACGAAGGTGCTTTCCCCCCCACAGTAGGTCCGGAAAGCCATGGAGAAATTATGATGACGGATCTCGAAAAGAAAGACGAGACTCAGCTGGACCAGCAGAGGAACCAGCAACAAGTTTTGCCTGTCCACCTGAAGGCCAGCAATGAACTGTCTAGGATACAGTTGGTCCTAAGGCGAGGGCTCCTGCTCCTCGGAGTCATTGCAGTCTTGGTGGGGGGGATTTTAGTGAGAGTATACGTCAGAGTTGAGTGACGTGCAAGAACCAGAGATCAAGCCACACAGTTGCTCCCCGGTTTATGAGATTACATACTGAAAATATTACATCCAGACTGGGGGAATTGCTGTGGTAGACAAACACATGCTTAGTGTGTTCAGGGCCCTCTAACAAGTAAGCTCTCTTTCTCTCTTTCTCTCCCCCCACCTTCTCTTTTTCTCTGATACACACAGACCCACACAGAGAGAGAGACTGAGAGACTGAGAGTCACAGATACATACAACACAGACAGAAAATCACAGACACACGGCACATACACACAGAAACAGGGAGATGGAGAGTCACAGACAACAAAGAGAGAGAGTTGGAGAGTCTCTCTCTTTCACACACACACAGAGACTGAGAGTCACAGACACACAACACACACAGAGACAGAGATGGAGAATCACAGACACACAGCACACACACACATACACGCAGAGAGAGATGGAGAGTCTCTCTCACACACACAGAGACTGAGAGTCACAAATACATACCATACAGATGGAGAATCACAGACACACAAGACACATACACAGAGACAGAGAGATGGAAAGTCACAGACAACAGAGAGAGAGACAGAGAGATGGACAGTCTCTCTCACACACAGAAACAGAGTCACAGACACATGACACACAGAGACAGAGAGATGGAGAGTCTCCCTCACACATACACACATACACATGGAGAGAGAAAGGGGGACATGCCCTGTGAGTGGACAATGTATGTAATACACCTAACCTACCGAACACCAGTGTTGGACATACTGTACCAGCTAGAATGTTGATTTTTTTCACCCCTGGGGCTGCAGGACCACCTGGGTGGACTGTAGTACACTGTCACTGTCCCTCATCTCTAAAGGATGGTGTCACACACTGTGAACCCAGGGAAAGATCCCAGTTCAAAATACTCTCTGTTAAACGCGTGTCACTTTGCACCAATGTAAAGTTGAGCCCTTGGAAAGGGAAAGTCTGGGGCCACACGTGGCTTTGAATTCACAGACAATGCATAGACCTGGCAGCGGCCAGTCATTTGAGCGAACAGAATTCAGTCGTGCTCGTGGGTTTTATGAGCTGAGAATTCAAGATGTTTTTCTAGTAAAGACTAAGGTGAACACCATATTGTGGCCTGAGACAATATGGAGAAGATGGTGGTGAAATATTACTCCATCCACCACTGTAAAGTGTGGACTTTCTGTTTCTTCTGCCTATTGATGTCTAAGAAGCCTATGTTCAAACTCCTTCTATGTTCTTACCGTGTAACTTCTATTAAATACATTTTATGTCTCTGGGTTGTAGATTATTACTTTGTGAGCAAACATCATCAGAGCAAACTCAGATCTCCTGCCAGGGTGTAGTCAGGGCGGTCTGTGGAGCTGTAGAGCAGTGAAGACAATTCTTGGTGGTGGCTAGAGGATGAAGCTTTAACAAATTAGCCCAACTCTGTTAGCCTCTAAAGGGTTAAGTAAGTACACACTGATAACTCTGCAAACTTTCGAACATCAAAAAATAAACAAAATTAGGAAAGGCAACTATCTATGGTGAGTAAACCGGTTCAATTTATTATTTTATTTATTTATTTATTTATTTATTTGTTTATTTATTTATTTATTTATTTATTTATTTTTGGTGAATGGGGCTGGAACTCGGGTCCGCTATAGGCAAGCGTTCCTCACTGAGGTACTTACATCGGTTGTTGAATTTGGTTGGACCACCTAAAGCATCCCTCAGAGGTTTTGTTTGCGGGGGGGGGGGGGGGGGGGGGGGGGGGGGGGGGGGGGGGGGGGGGGGGGGGGGGGGGGGGGGGGGTTGTGGGGGTGGTAAATAGCCCTGGCTGATCTGGAACCAACTCTTATAGACAAGGCTGGGCTCGAAATCACGGAGATCCACCTGCCTGTCTCCCTGAGTGCTGGGATTAAAGGCGTGTGCTATCACCACCCTGCGAGATTCATTCTTGTTGGGTAAATAAGATTACATTTTCCAGCCACCCAGATCGAAGCTTGCCCTGCACGCTGCGTTCGGTGACAGTTGGACTTGGATGCGTCGCCCGCCCAGGGCGGGGTGGCACGTGAGGCGAGTCCCGCGCGGCTGCCCTGGCCCCGCAGTGGCCACTCCGCCCTCGGCTCCACGTGCCGGTTCCGCCTGCATCAGAACCTGCACCATGGAGCCCGCAGAGGACAGCTTGGGCACGGCCATCCGGCTTTCGGAGCCACCCGTCGTCCCGGTTGTCCCGCAGTGGCGCAGCCCCTGGTGCCTGCGGGGAGCGCTGTCCTCCGACGTGCGGCGGGAGGCGGCTGCTCTGGCGGCGCTCGCGGGCCCGGTGGTGAGTCGGACCCCGAGCTGCGGGCGCGGGGTGGCCCAGGAGGGCCGAGGGTGACCGCCTTTCTGCTCCTCGCAGTTCCTGGCGCAGCTGATGATCTTTCTCATCAGCATCGTCAGTTCCATCTTCTGCGGACACCTGGGCAAAGTCGAGCTGGACGCCGTGACACTCGCTGTTTCCGTAGGTGTTAATTTTGTTTGGGCTGATGACGTGGGTAAAGCCTCCGGAGTAAAGCTTTAACGTGTTTTTATTTGTTTGCTGGAGATGAACTCAGGGCTGTGTGTGCGCGCGCTCGGCACACCCCCCACCCCCAAGCTTCAGAATTAGAAGTGCAGGGACTGGGTCTGACCCACCAGTTACCATGATGATCTTCTGATTTGGGAAGAGAGTCTGAGCAGATCTCACAGGCACTGTGGAAGGAGTGTCCTAAGCAGAGGCTTGGTGCATTGCTACCCTAAAGGAACGGCACACCCTCCCCCTCCTTCTGAAACCAAACTACCAAAGCTATTAGTTACACGGTTCATTAAGATTCCACCATATCTTCCTTAGCATCGCACGTCCTTAGAAGCCTTTCTCCATCTGGTAAGGGAAGGGAGAGCTGCTTTGCTCACATTTGCTCTGCTCTTTCAGATGTCAGAAAAACTCCTGGTGATGGAAAACTGGGTCCTCCCCTATTTCAGAAAACGTTCCTTCTACCCCCCTAGGATGTTGGAATGCAACAATGGAGGCCTGCAGGTTCTCTGTGAGCTTCCATGGTAGAGGACCTGGCTATGAAGAGTCTCTGTAAAGGTCTATTCTGTATTGGCAGAACTAATGTCTTCCCTCCCTCCCTCCGTCAGTGTGTGTGTGTGTGTGTGTGTGTGTGTGTGTGTCCCCTGTGTCTTCTCCAGGGAAGATGAGTTTGGTCACTGCAAAGCACTGAACAATGTCAACAGTGTCCTGCTCACCTAGTGTGAACAGTGTTGACAGGGTGGCCTTTAGAGACCAGGTGTCTTCCCAGCCAGGAAGCTCCGTCCGTTTTGGTCATCCCATCCTGTGCTTTTCCTCTTATCCGGTCAGCCACCTCAATCCCTGCAGCCTCTCTTCTCTCCCACCCTTTGGTGTTTGGGGGTTGTGGCTTGACCCCTCTCACCTAACCTCACTGACCCCAACTCTTCTGCAGTCTCCTTCCAGTAGAAAAGAATGCTTGGCTGGGCAGTGATGGCACACGCCTTTAATCCCAGCACTCAGGAGGCAGAGGCAGGTGGATCTCTGTGGGTTCGAGACCAGCCTGGTCTACAAGAGCTAGTTCCAGGACAGAAACCAAAACCACAGAGAAACCCTGTCTCGAAAAACAAAACAAAACAAGAATGCTTGGCCTCCCATCTCTGGGCTCTCCTCAGCCCCTTGTCCTCCAGCCCTGTCAGGTCCTCACCCATCCTGCCTGCTCTTGACCCAGGGAGTCCTACCAGGACTCCTTAACCTTCGACAGCTCCAGAGGCCCTGCTGGGTTCCTGGCCCACCACTAAGCAGGCGGCTCACCCTCCTTCCTCTTTCCTGTCTTTTGGGCACCTGATCCAGCATGCACCTTTCACCATGCTCTGGAACCTTGCTTTCTCTTCCAAGCCCGTCTTCTGCTCATCCCCACTCTTGGCAGTAAACACATCCCGGGTTTTCTATGAACATATCCCACCACCTCTGCCTTCTCTCCCCCTACTCCCTTCGCCAGAGTCTGCACTCAGTCTTGCCTCCTGCAGTCAGCTTTCCCCTCTCCCACTGACTGCCAATTCACCTGTACTGGGCGGTTTTGTCTGTCAGCTTGACACCAGCTAGAGTCCTTAGAGAAAGGACCCTCAGCTGAGGAGATGCCTCCTTGAGATCCAGCTGTAGGGCATTTTCTCATTTAGTGATCAATGGGGGAGGGCCCAGCCCATGGTGGATGGGCTAATGGTTTTGGACTCTGTAAGAAGGTGGGCTGAGCAAACCCAGGGTAGCAAGCCAGTAAGCGGAGCCCCTCTGTGGTCTCTACATCAGCTCCTGCTTCTGGGATCCTGCCCTGTTTTGAGTTCCTGTCCTGCCTTTCCTCCCCGACTTGCTCTTTGGTCATGGTGTTCGGTGGCAGCAATAGCAACCCTAACTAAGGCATCGCTGGACTCTGCCCATGGTTGTCTGGAGAGTTCGCCTTTGTGTTCGCCGCCATGTCATCTCCCACATCTGGTCATCCTCCAGGCTGCCGCTCCTAGGAACTGCCCGCAGTGCTTCAGCACACGCTCGGCTTGACTACGGCCTCTGATAGTTGCCCTTTTCATTTCTCTGCTTCCCACTTTCTATTTCATTTAAATGAACTGTTCACTAATGCCACAGTGAGCAGTCGAACCCAGGACCTTGCACGTGCCAGGCAAGCACTCCACCACGGAGCTATAACCCCAGCCCTCTTCTTTCTGTTCTAAATGCCCTCCTTTGGTGTCTCTCAAGTCAGTGTCTCCATCCTTGACAAGGGCTTCCAGTTCTGTGGTGGTTTGCAAGGTGAACTGGCTGGAGACCAGAGGTGAAGCCAAACCAGAACTTGCTGCAGGTGCATCTCCCCAGTGATGCTGGGAGTTTTCTGTTCTGTCTTCTTAGTGAAAAGGATTAAACCCTGAGCCTTACACTTGCACTCTCACGCCCCTCACCTTACTTCCTCTCCATCCATCAGCTGCCTATGTTTCTTAGAGCCACCCCACCCCCAATTTCTTCTGCATCCCATATTACTCTTTTTCTGCCTCAGTCTTTCTGCCTCCCGAGGCCTGGAGGGTGTCCTGAGAGCCTTTCTGGTGTCCCCAGGAAGACTGAGGTCTTGGCTATGGTCACTAGAGCCTTGCATTCTTCTCTCCAAGGAACAGGTGCCTCATTTTTGTGAAGCTTGAATCCTGCCACAGGTCTGGCTCAACCAAATGTTTTGGAGTCCTGCAGCCCTGCTGTCCTGCCTGTGCTCACCCGGCTTCCCCTCTTGTCTCTTCCTGCCGCCCAGCCTCATCTGGCTGGACATTTCCATCCCCTGCTTTGGGGAGGCTTCCAAGCCTTGAAGTTTTGTGTCTGCATCGCATCATGAGGCTGTTTGTTATTTTCCTTGTTTCATTAAAATTATTTTAAGATGTATCTTTTGGGGGAAAGCAAACTAAAATAGTGTGTGTGTGTGTGTGTGTGTTGCTGTTGTTTTTGGCAATTTCCTTTCGCTGTTGAAATCTCTAGAGTTTTTGGGGGTAAAAACAACAGGAATAAGCGCAGCCCCCAGCGAGATGGGAGGCTTGGCCGTGGGAAGGCTGGTGTGTTCCGCAGGCAGGGCTTTCTGCAGATAAGGCCCCGAAGAGGGAGAGCCACTGCCAGCCCTCCGTAAATGGGTCAAGGAGATGCGTTCCTTTTAATGGATGCCAACTTGTAACTAACTGTTGGGAAGATGGGGGACTCGATGGCACCACGATCAGATATGTTAACTTTTATACATTTCGTTTTTGAGACAGGCTCTTGCTCAGTAACCCAGGTTGGCCTTGAACTCTCAATATTTTTTTTACCTCAGTCGGAATTACAGGCCTAGTAATTTTTGTCTCATCTTTTATTATAATGTTATCCATGGTAAGAGAGAGCTCTAACTCAGCTCAGTCTGGAAGAAACTTGAACAAACGTTAGCTAAAGAGGGGGACTCGCATTCTAAGCCACCAAAGTCAGTTAGTGTATAGCAGCAGCAGCAGCAGCAGCAACAGCAGCAGCAACAGCAGCAGCAACAAAACCAAACACAACAGAACAAAGACCCTCACATGTCTTTAGAAAAACAAAAATATTTATAAAGTGAATTACCTCCCCTTTGCTTTTCCTTGATTGGTTCGTAGTAGTATGTACCTTGCATCTGGGTCCTCGTTGTGCTACAAGCCCCCTGGGTTTCATGTCTGGTAGGATAATTTTAGGACACTCCGCATGTGGCCTGCTATTGACCTCGCGGGGCTACGGAGTGTAGATTCCAGCTGTCTTGGTCCATTACTACAATCTCAAAGTATTGGGCCTGTATAGAGAAAAGGTTTCTTTAGCTCACACTTCAGGACACTTAGGAGCACGGCACCAGCTTCTGCTGAGCTCTGGTGGGGGCCTCTTGGCTCCGTCATCACATGCAGACAGTGTCATGGCTCATGAGAGGAGCAAGCAGTCACACGGCAGGAAGCAAGAGCAATTCTGGTACCTGGCTGGCTCTCCTTACAATTCATTTTCCCAGGAGCAAATTAGGTACCAAGAGAACTTTATTTATTTTTGAGATGGTCTCATTGAAGCCCAACCTGACCTCAAACTTGCTATGTAGTAAAGGGTAGCCCTGAGCCTCTGCTCCTCCTGCCTCCACCTCTCCAGGGCGGGGGTTACAGGCACATGCCAGCATGCCCAGCTCATGAAGTGCTGGATTTTCACATTCTAGGATAACACTCTATGTAGTAAGGAGGCCGTTAGTTAGTTCCCAGCTGTTTAGCCCCAAAATAATCAAACAGAAACTGTATTATTTAAATCACTGCTTGGCTCATCAGCTCTAGTTTCTTATTGGCTAACTCTTACATCTCAATTTAACCCACTTTTATTAATCTGTGCATCACCATGAGGTTGCGGCCTTCCAGCAAAGTTTTAGCACGTCTGTCTCTGGTGGCAGCTCCATGGCTTCTCCCTGACTCTGCCTCCTTTCTCCCAGCATTCAGTTTAGTTTTCCTCACCTAGCTCTGTTCTAGAGGAACTATAGAGTAGCTCTATAGGCCCAAAGCAGTTTCTTTATTAAGCAGTGATATTCATAGCATGCAGAAGGGAATCAACTCTATCTACTGAGCTACATCTTCTGCCCCCTGTGAGAACTGTATTAGCCCCCTCTGAGGCTGGCATCCCAGTGACTTAATCATCCTCCATTAAATGTCATTTCTTGAAGGTCCCACTACCTCCCAACTACACCATACAAAGGACCAGACTTTCTGCACATATGCCACTGAGAACCACATTTCATTAGCCAAAACACTGGGTCTTGGTAAGCAAAGCAGTTAATTTACCCGAAGTTGACATGGGCTGCTACATGTGAGACCCAGGATGAAGAAGCGCACTGCACTTTCCCTCTCTTCTCTGCTGGCCTGAACAACAGCACTCTCAGCCCCACCCCTCAACCTAAGGGCTAATCTCTGGGTAGCGGGGAGAGGATGAGTTCTGCTTGAGAGGGCGGCATAAACCCAATCCTTACCAGACTACTGAAGCCTTAGGTCTGCAGTCAGACTTCCCAGCTTCGGGTCACACCAAGGCACCTAGTTTACTATATAGTAAATATTTAGTAAGTTTTCTGTCGCCCAGGCTACACCTGAAATGGGGAACTATAACGCTGTGTACATGTGACTCAGGACAATGCCTGGCACGCAGTATATGTTCAATAAACACTGGGTGTTCTCTGTGTGTGTGCACGTGTTTGCAGGTGCAGCCCCCCTGCATGTGCATTCGGAGTCCCGAGGAGAAGGTGGGTGTCCTGCTCGCCCCCTCTCCCCTACTCTTTTGAGGCAGAGTCTCTTACCAAGACCGGAGCAGCATTTCAGCTGGGCTGGAGGGTGGGTGAGCTCCAGGGTCTGCTTGTCTCTCTCCATAGCACCCCCGGCCTCACACACCAAGTCCTGGAGCTGCACAGGCATGCAGCTTTTACAGGGGTTCCAGGGATCCAGACCCAGGTTCTCATCTCGCATAGCAAGCACTACCACCACTGAGCTCTCTGCCAAGTCTGGATTTTCTTTCTTCTGTGTGTGTGTGCATGCGTCAACACCCTAACCCTGTTGCTTTTGCATGCATATCCTCTGGCGATGAGATACATGGGCTTAGACAATAGAAAATCTTTCTGTTTAGTTTTTAGTTATTTAAGGTGGGCTTGGCTCTGGTACTGAGACTGGTCTTGAGCTCCTTGGCCTCCAGTGATTTTTCTGCCTCCATCCTTCGAGGTGTGGGGACCACAGGACACGCCACGGTGCCTGGCTTTACTTTCCTAAGACAGAAGCTCTTACATGCTAAATTAAGAAAATCTAGGCTTGCTGGGTACAGTGATGCTCACCCTTAATCCCAACACTTGTTTGTAAGAGGCAGGAGGATCTCTGTGAGTCTGAGGCTAGCCTGGTCTACAGAGCAAGTTCAAGCCAGCCAGGGCTACAAAGAGAACCCCTGTCTCAAAAAGACAGCAAAAATAGTCTTTAAGCTCCCCTGGTTGGCCTAGGGTGGTTGTGGCCCTTGGCTAGAAGAGGCATTTTTGTTTGATAAGCCTCAAGGATCCGTGTGGCCATCTGGACCCCAGGAGCCTGGGCATTCACGTGGGCATGCCTGCTCTTTGGAAATGAGAGGCTGAACTGGGTGCAGTGGCTCAGGCCTTTAATCCCAGCACTTGGGAGGCAGCAGCAGGCGGATCCCTGTGAGTTCCAGATCAACTTGATCTATGTAGTGAACTCCAGGACAGCGGGAGTTACATAGCGAGACCCTAAGGGTGGTGGGGTATGGGGGACAACAGCAACAACAAAAAAGCAAAAACAAAAACCAACTAAGTAAAAAAAGGCTACACAAGGTAGATGGCATATGCCTTTAATTCCAACACTGAGGAGACAGAGGCAAGTGGATCTCTGTGGGTTCAAGGGCAGCCTGGTCTACACGGAGAGTTCCAGGACAGCCAGGGCTAAATAAGGAGACCTTGGCTCATAAAACCAAAAGGAGCTGCTGGGGCCCTTGGCTCTCTGCAGCTGCTGCCTGCTGCACTCGGCTGCTTCTTTCCCTGCAGGTTGTGAATGTCACCGGGATTTCAGTCGGAACTGGCTTGGCCTCAGCTTGTGACACTTTGATGTCCCAGGTGAGAACCTCGTTGCTGCCTAGGGAACCGCACACTGGGATTTGGCAGCCCTTTATGTATGGACTGTACAGTTAGATTTACTAAATCATGTGACCAACAGCTAACTCAGCTGTTCTCAGGAGGCTTCATTTGTGACTTGTGCTAGGGGACAAGAAGGCTGCAGCTCAGGCTGATGGCAGAGCAGTGAGTGGGCTTTGCGAGGTGGCGACAAGGGGAGCACAGTGAGAAGCTAAACAGACAGGAACAGGACCTGGGTGGCACCAGGTTCCTTCAGGTGTTTTTTTTTTTTTTTTTTTTTTTTTTTTTTTTTTGTTTTTGTTGGGTTTTTTTTTGGGGGGGACAGGGTTTCTCTGTGGTTTTGGAGCCTGTCCTGGAACTAAAGGCGTGCGCCACCACCGCCCAGCTCATCTGAACCTCTTTTACTGCANTTTTTTTTTTTTTTTTTTTTGTTATTGTTGGGTTTTTGTTTGTTTGTTTGAGACTGGATTTCTCTGTGTAACAGCCCTGACTGTCCTGGAATTTCCTCTTGTAGGCCAAGCTGGCCTCGAACTCACAGAGATACGCTTGCCACTGCCTCCCGAGTACTGGGATTAAAGGCATGTGCCACCACTGCCCAACTCAGGTGATTTTTTTTTTATCCAACAGTTGAAAGCAGAGAAACTTATTAGCCTGACATATGAGGCTGGGACCTCTGTTTTGGGGGAAAACAGTCTTTTTGGTATCTTTTTGCTTCTTTAAAGTTTCAGTTTTCGTGTCATTTAGCAAAGGGACTCCAGTTTTTGGTTGGGTTTGGTCTGGTCCTGGGGCAGGTCAGTGGTTCCTATTGTGTTTGGCAGATAGTTCTGCTCCCCCAAATCTTCACAGGGGTCATGAGTTCCACTGTAAGCTTCTTAGAAGACCTGGTGGCACACGCCTTTAATACCAACAGTCGGGAGGCAGAGGCAGGCGGATCTCTGTGAGTTCAAGGCCAGCCTGGTCTACAAGAGCTAGTTCTAGGACAGGCTCCAAAACTACAGAGAAACCCTGTCTCAAAAAACCAAAAAAGAAAACAAAAGGGGAGTGCCTTTGCACTCCAGGTCCTCCCCCAGCACTGGGCTCCATCCCCAACACTGCCCTTTCAGTCACTGCTCCTCCCACTGGGCTTAGCCTTTGCTGGGTCTCCTTGGGGCTTCTTCAATAAAATCGTCAAGTGAACACAAAGCCACCCTTAACTTTTGGGTGACCTCAGTGCAGTGGGTGTTTTTACTTTCTCTGCACCCCTGTTCTGTGCCTGTCTCCTTCTCAAAGCTTCATTCTGCTCCTCCATGTTCCTTGTGAACAGCCCCAGTTCCCAGAGCAGGGGACAGTTGTCCTAGGGCACATACAAAGCCACATACAGTGGCGGTTGGCTGTCTGGGACCTGGCAGCTGTCCCCTGCATCTCCCCCATCACCTTCCTCCTGCCCGGTCCCTTGGGCAGTGCTGCCGGGAACATGGCTGTCAGAGCTGCTGGACCTGCTGGAAGTGGGAGGCCGAGGTCCCCACGTTCGCTGAAACATTGTTTTTCCAAGTCCTTTGGAGGCAGGAACCTGAGGCGCGTGGGGGTCATACTCCAAAGGGGCATCCTCATCTTGTTGCTCTGCTGCTTCCCCTGCTGGGCCATCTTCCTCAACACGGAGCACCTGCTCCTGCTCCTGAGGCAGGACCCGGAAGTTGCCAGGTGAGCACTGACTCAGAGTCCCTGGTCAGCAGGAAGTGGCCGACATTCTCAGCTCATTCGCTGGTCGTGAGCACTTGAAACCAGAAGCTGTGGCTGACCACAGAGTAACACACAGGGCCAAGGCCTCACACACTGGTGCACTGGGCGGTCTCGTTCATGTCCACACAGTTTTCTTCCATAGGGAGTTCAACACACAGCTGTCCTCACTGTTGTGTTTAGGGTTGGGTTTTATAAAATTTAACCGTCTAGTGGGTTGGCTGGGCTTAGTTCTTTCCAAAGATTTCTGCGTCACATTGTGCTCAACTTGTAACAAGTTTTCCTGCTAGGTCATCCCCCCCCCCCTCAACCTTCTCCCCATTGAAAAGTCTCTGCCGCCCCTCCCCCAACTTAATGACCCACTCTGCAGCCTTTGGACACTGCTTTGACCTGGTGTCTTCCCAACAAGTGTTTAGTTTTAATTTTTAGAAGATACCCCAGCTGGACCCGAAGGTAGGGTGACCAGAAACCACTTCACTGTTGCCTGAAAACTGTCTTCTTGTTCCAGGCTAGCCCAGGTTTACGTGATGATTTTCATCCCTGCTCTTCCTGTAAGTTTCACAGCTGCTGTGCTTCTTTATTAGTGTGTAATCATAGAAGTACTAATAACAATAATATTAAGTGATGAGTTCCACGGGGACATTTCCATACATGTGCACAATGTACTTTGATCATACTCATTTTCCTTTTCCCTTCTTCTACCTTGTCCTGGTTCCCGTGATCCTTTTAGCACCCCCTGTTCTAAACCCCCCCCCCCGTCTCAAGTCACATATGAGAGAACGTATGTAATAACTGTTCCAACTGCCTTCCTTTGAAGAGGGAGTGAAGTGTCCTGCTGATGCCATCAAAAAGTAGCCATGGAACTCCTGGACAGAGCAGCGCCATCTGTGACCTGCATTCAGAAGGCTGAGGTGGACGGATAGAACATTTTGAGCCAGCCTGAGCTACATAGAAGACAGTTTTTAAAAAGAGGACCCATGGCATAAGGACTCAGCAACAGCACTGTGACAAATAAGAGGGATTGGAAGGTGTGAGAAACCACACCCTGAGCTGCTTTATAGCTCCCCAACACCTGAGTAGCCCTGACCCAGCCGGGGCTCCTCATCATGGCATATGTGTGGACAATCCTGGGCAGCCTGGCGCTCAGATCCCTGTACCTGGTATCCCTGAGGATCATGCTCACACTAGGGCACTGGGACTGAGCTTCCCGTCTTCTGGGGGCCCAGCCTGGTTTCATAGCTGCAGCTGGGAGGATACTTGCCAAAGATGGCTACAGGCCGTTGCTTCTGCCTCACCCCTTCTTCAGGCAGTCAAGGCTGGGGCAGTTGCTTCAGCCACTTAGAATCCACTCCTCTCTGCTCTTCAGAAGTGAATCTTTCAGTCACTCATTCCGGTATTTGTTTAGGGTAAATCTGGTGTTCTGGATTTTGACGTCTAAGAATCAGAAAGAGAATATTCTAAACAAACAAACAAACAAACAAACAAACAAAAAACAGAGTAGGGCTGGAGAGATGGCTCAGTGTGCTTTTTCAGAGGTCCTAAGTTCAATTCCCAGCAACCACATGGTGGCTCACAATTATCTGTAATGAGGTCTGGTGCCCTCTTCTGGCCTGCAGGCGCACGTGCAGACAGAACACTGTATGCATAACAAGTAAATAAATCTTAACCCACTGCCCCCCCCCCCAGACAGCAATGGCATAGAAGACCCAGAAATAATCCCGTGCAAAGCCTTTCAGTCCTTGTCAAGGGTGTCAGAACCCACACTGGAGGAAGGGTGGCCTCTCTGGTGAGTGGTCTGAGAAAGGCAACTGTCCACGTGTAGAGGAATCAAACGGATCCATATCTCACCCAGCACTGAAATCAGTTCGGGAACTGAGTGCAGGAGGAAGACACTGCGAGCCAGCACAGGCAAGGGCTCTCTAAAAAGGCGGACAACAGCAAAGGAAAGAATCCCAAGGCTTAACAATCGGGGCAACATGGAATTCAAAAGCCTCCAAACAGCAGCAGAAATGTCATCAGAGGCAGCGCACAGACGGGGAGCAAGTCCTTGCCAATCGCACATCCCACGTGAGATTAATGTTTAGAATATACAAAGAACACCAACATTCAAATATCTCCCACATCAAAATGGACTAATGGACTGAATAAAAGAAGAAATAAAAGTAGTCAATATTTTTAGCTATCAGAGAAATACAAATTGAAACTCCCTTGGCATTTCGTGTGAGCCCAGCGAGACTAGATCTCATCAGGAAAACAATGACAACAAATGCTGGTGAGGATGTGGGAGCATAAATTGGCCTGGTTGCCATGGAGATCAATAGGGAAGCTCCTCCAAAGCTAAAACTGTATTTACTCCAAGATCCCACTGTACCACTGTGGCTGTATAACTGAAGGACACCAGCATGCAACAGGCATGCTTGTATATCTTTATTTCATTTCTGCCAAGATATGAAACTAGCCTGAATTTCCATCAGCAGATGAGTGGATAAAAAGGTATACATGTACACAGTGGAATTTCATTTAGCTATGAAGAAAAATGAAATTATAGGACAGAGGAGATGAGTGCTTGCTGCTAATCCTGATCTGAGTGCAATCCCCAGAGACCCACAGGGTGGAAGAGAACCAGCTCCTGCCAGGTGTTCTCGGATCTCTACCCGTGTGCTCTGGCACAAGCATGCACACACACACACACACACACACACACACACACAAATAAGACAGATAAATATAAAAAGGAAATGAAAATGAATAGAACTGGAGACCATTTATTAAGTGAAGTAAGCCACCAGACTCAGAGAAACAAATATCACATCTTTTCTCTCTTTTGCAGGATGTAGATTTACAGTTGTGTCTGTGTGTGTATATATATGTGTATATATGCGTGTGTGTGTGAGAGACACAGAGGTAGAAAGGGCACCATGAGAGGGAGGAGGGCAAATGGAGGTGGAATGCATACCAACAAGACAGAAGGTAAAGTTGTGGGAGGAAGGGGAGCAGGGCTGGGAGGATAGTGACAGATGATGGAGTAAGAACGAAGTGCATTGATATGTATCGGGAATGCCAAGTGAAGCCCATTCTCTTTTTGGACAGCATACAGGCCAAAATTTTGATAAAAAAAATTCAGAACTTGACATGTGTGAAAATATTGTAATGAATTCCATTGTTGTGTAAAACATTCAAAAGAAACTGAGCTGGGGCATAACCTTGTGGCAGACATTTTGCCGACTGCAAAGTCCTGGGTTTGATCCACAGAAATGTCAGAACAACAGCAAAACCAGAAGGAAAGTAAGCTCTCCTGTTTTCTGTTTCATCTTCTAGGCGGCGTTCCTATTCCAGTTGCAGACACGGTATTTACAGAGTCAGGTATTCTTTTGTATTTTTACTGCACACTACTGTGGAAAATTTGGAGTCAATGTTCTAAAGGGATTTTCTGCAGTAATTTGCACCTCGTTTCTCTTTACTCATTTCTGATACATTCACGTACTTGGGCAGCATGAGCCCTTGGGGTTTCACGTACTGAGAAGATGGCCGCCTTGTGGACTCATCTGTTTTGATTCCTCTTAGTGTTTCCTCGGTCCCTCTGCGGGCTTCACTCCTAACCCCTACTCTTGCGGCTGACTGGTGGCTTTGCATCTGACCTGGGGACCTGGCCCCAGTTTTGATACTGACTGGGAGGATCTAGGGTTTCTACAGCGACACTTGGAAGTGTGGTTAGAACACTGTGTGCTGCACCCAGGGCAGAAGGGAAACGGAAGGAGGAGAGAGCCAGAAGTGGGTGGGCAGAAACTGGTTCCCACTTTAGTTAGTGGCCTGTCCCTTGCTACCTCCATACAGCTTACTAGCCTTTAACTATAAAGGCCTCTTCCCTAAGCCAGAGGACGCTGCTCTGCTTGGACAGCCATCAATTCTGTTTGATTGCTGGGAGACGTTTAACGTGAAGAAAGGGTTTATTTGAGGACAGAAGCATAGATGGCATAAACAATAGGAATGTGCGTTGTCAGGCACGGTGCTTTCACGTCTTTAATTCCAACACTAGGTGTGCTCTGTGAGTTCGAGGCCAGCCTGGTCTTCATACAGAGTAGCCTAGAGGGACGGACATTTCCCCCCACACTTGGTTTGAAGCAAGTATTTCTGGGGGCTGTGCATGTGAGATTCTTGAGCACAGGTCTGGGCCCCAACCTCCCAAAGCCTGTGTGTTCTTCCCGAAACCACACTGCTTTCCTTGTTGCTGTGAAGAAACTGGATGGGTTTTTGCAAACAGCAACCACAGGCTTCATCAAGGGAGGGGACTCATTTGACTGTTGCCATTCCTGGCTTTTCTACTAGCCTTGTATGACTTCACTGCCACCTTTTAACTATGAGTTCGCTTGACAGCCTAGCCAACTCGCTTTTGAAAATAGTAATGTTTTCCTATTTGTGTGAGAATTTTAGGGCATCATTATGCCCCAAATTATCGTTGGGGTCGCAGCAAATGTTGTCAACGTGGGAATGAACGCCTTCTTGCTGTTCGCCTTGGACCTCGGAGTGGTGTGAGTGAACCCATTCATTCAACAAAGACTGCCGCATGTCCTAGGGCTGGGGATGGGCCAGTGAAGCGGGGAATGTGGACAGGTAAGCAGGCACCTAGCAGTCTGGGCTCCGGTGCTCTGCATGACAGGCAGGCTGGTGAGAGCTCACCCTTGGGCCCACAGGGCAGCAGCTAGCTCGCGTTGCTGGGATAGCAGGGAGCCTTGGACAGGATCTGGAGGCTTCTGTGGTTGGAGCGGTATTAGTCCAGCCAGCAAGCTGCTGCCACCTGGAGGCTGAGGTGGGCGACAGGCAGAGGCCAGAAGGGCTTCTCTCAGGGCCTCTGAATTTTAAGTGGCTGAGCCAAATTCCTTCTTGAAGCTTGAAGCGATGAGGGCCCCATAAAGAAATAAAGAAGTTAAGGGTACTCCAATAGTGTCCCCCTGGCCCCACCTCACACCAGAGGATGCTCTACCGCCCTAGTCCAGAGCTAACCTGCATATGTGGCAAGAGAGTCACCCCAGCAAATGGAGACTGAGCTCCACAATTCGGGCATGCTTCAGGGCACTATGTTCTTTGGCTAGTGGGTCATGACTGTTACCCATATATATATGTAACAACAATTAAAGAAAAAGAGACCATAAATTTGAAAGAGATCAGGGAGTGGGTGGAGGAAGGCAAGGTAAGGGTAGGAAACTATATATTATATATAAAAGAAGTTAATATGTTAGGAATTAAAGAGAAAAAATAAAAGAGTATAAAATATGAGTTATGTCAACTGCTGAATATCTTCGCTGTGATTGATTCGTGGTTTCCATTCACATGTTAATGTGGGCTTTGAATATCAAAGAAACCATGGCAGCCCTCACTAAAGAGGGCTGGGCAGGTATGCAGTTCAGGGGGAAGAGCTTGCCTAGCATGTACAAGACCTGGTTCCCATGCTTTCTCCCTCATGTAAGAGAAGGAGGTTGTATCAGTCAGTTTCCTGGAAGAAGGAGGAGGACGGGAGGAGGAGGGGAGGAGTAGGAAGAAGAAAAAAAAGGAGAGGGAGGGAAAGAGAGAACAGGTACATACTAATGAAAGAGGACTTCCGGAATGGACTTATATGGTAAGAGCTGGGAGTCTAACAATGGCCATTTACACATTGAAGAGGCAAGAAGTTAGAGGCCTCAGCTGTCCCAAGCTGGCACTGAAGGCCTGGAAGCTCCTGTAGAGTCTGTGGTAGCGCGCCCAGGTTGAAAGTCAGAGGAAGCCTGTCATAGTGGGGGTTTCTGTGGCTGAGATGAAACACCGTGACCAAAGCAGCCTGGAGAGAAAGGGCTTCTTTTGCTTACGCCTTGACATCACGTCACGGAGGAAAGTCAGAGTCAGAGCTATGCAGAGGCTGCAGAGAGCACTGCTTATGGTTGGTTCAGCCTGCTGTCTTATACCACCCGGTATGTGGCCACTTGCCCAGGGGTGGCACTGTCCACAGTGAGCTGGCCCCTCAGACACCAGCCACTAATCAAGGCCACTTCCCACAGATTGTTTACAGGACAGTCTTGGGGGCATTTTCTCGCCAAAGAGTCCCTCTTCTCAGATGTGTCTCCGTGTTAAGTTGACAAAAGTCAATGTCAGTGGGTGGTAACGACCAATAAACACTTTCACCTCAAAGGAAAGGGGCTTGCAGATGCTGGAATGTTCCTTCCCCTGACTTCTTTGTTCTGGATCACCAGCTTGCTGGGTGGTGTGGCCCACATTTGGGGTGGGCCTCCCCTCAGTTCCTGCCTCCTATGTTCATCTCTAGGCATGCCCCACAGACAGATAGAAGTGTTTTTTAAAAAACTATTTTTAGACATCTCTTAATACAGCTAAGTTGACAACCAACGACAACTGTCATCCAGGCATTGATCAGAGCATAGAGAGGGCCCATCAGGGAAGGGGAGGACCAGTGGCCCAGGATCCCCTGTGAAGGGTACCTGAGAGGCAGAGTCTTAGACTTTTCCTAAAGAGATATGCCCAGGATGGTTGGAAAAGGAGGAGCGAATACAGGGGTGGGTTAATAACGACCAAGTGTGGAGCGCAGACCAGAGCATGAGAAGGGAAAGTAATCAAGACGGCTGAGAACAGCACTGCGCAGGCCCAGCATGTGCATGGGGTGGGGGACGGCTCCCACTGATGATGCCCAGTGCTCTGTTGACAGAAAACAAACCCCCTCTAATCCTGTGCAATAAAACCATGGCTCGCATGAGCCCTTGAGTAGAGGAGCTAGATGGCTCGGCCTGTTTGAACTAGTCGCCATCTAAGAAATGCTTAGTTGGGGTTGGTTAAGGTTGGTGCCTTGTGGGATGGCAATACAGCTCAAGCCCTTTGGTGTCCATCTCCGTCTCCGTGGAGTCAAACAAGCACATCACACATGGGTTCAGCCACCACACAAAGGAAGCCGGCACAGACACTGCAAGCTCGCTGCCAGCCAAAGCTTGTCAGAGGCAGACTGTGGGCTTGTATTTGGAAGGACACACTTGAGCTAACCCTCACCTTTTCTCCTGCAGAGGGTCAGCCTGGGCCAACACCACCTCCCAGTTTTTCCTGTCTGCCCTGCTTTTCCTCTACGTGTGGTGGAAGAGGATCCACGTTCACACCTGGGGAGGTATGTGACCCTGCTCAATGGAGGTTCCCAGGCATAGCTCTGACTTTTGAATTTCTTTCCCTCGTAGAAGTTGGTCTTTTATTTTTATCTTCTAGGAAATCTCAAAACATAGAATACATTTGTTACTGAAAATGCAGAAGTTACTAGGGACAGTGTGACTTTGTGTTTGTGTGGTTACCAAAATAACCTTTTGTTTATAGAACATGGTGGTAGATACTCGATTTTAAGGTGCATTTTAAATATAAAAATATTATATTTTTAATATTTAATGAATTAAAACTACTAACATGAGATCCTGTTTCTGGAAAAGCATGCTATTTAACTGAAGGGCAGTTAGATTAGTGTCGTATCAACTTAAGAGAACAGACTGTTCTCTGACCAGCCAGGACCACTCACAGCTAACTGAGGAACCCAGAACCCTTGAGTAGACACCCACAGGCTTAACTGATTGTTTGGCTTTCACAGCTGACACAGGTAAGCCAAAGTTGAGAGAAGGCCTCAGTATTGCTCTTCAGCCTCTGCAGCTGAACATAAGGACCCCTTCCTCTTGCCTGGTCACAGATCCTAATCAGTTCTGACTGTTTTCCAAGTCAAAATGATCTTTTTTTTTTTTTAAAAAACAGCTTCACTGAAAGTGTAATTTATATACTGTAAAATTGACTCATTTGGCATTATTTTCAGTGGTGTATAGAGTTATGCTCATTAATACAGCCTAGTTTTAAAACATTTCCATAACAGAGCTGATTCCTCTTGACAGTTTGAAGTTCATTTTTGCCCACCCTCAGTCCGAGTAGCTGTCAATCTGCTCTTAGTCTCTAGGTTGGCCTTTTCTGCATGATTTTAGATGTTTTCTCATCGATTTCTATGAGTTATCTGGTTATGGCACAGATCAGTAACTGCCAACAATTAAACACTGTGCCCTTAATAAATATATTAGTTACTTTCTCAGTGACATGATGAAATACTTGACAAGAAGCAACTTATTGTAGGAGGAATTGGCTTTAGCCAATAATTGAGAGGAGACAGTCTATCATGGTGGGGAGGTGATGGCAGCAGTGAGAGGCGGCTGGTCACATCGCATGTACATGTGTGGGAGTGTGAGGCGGCTGGTCACGTTGCATGTGCATGTGCAGCTATGTGAGGCGGCTGGTCACATTGCATGTGCAGCTATGTGAGGCGGCTGGTCACATTGCATGTGCAGCTATGTGAGGTGGCTGGTCACATTGCATGTGCAGTCAGGATGCGGAAAGAGATAAATGTGGTGCTTCACTGGACAGGCACATTCTGTCTTTGTGACTAGGATGTGATCTGTAGGAAGCAGAGAGCATTTGAGCACCTGGTTCCCCAGTACCTTTCCATCCAACGGCTCCAACCCCCAGTGATGATTCTCCACTGAACCAGTTATTGCACTGAGTCTCAAACGCTCTTAGGCTCTTGTTGTGCATATTTGTGCCAACTATGATGCATTCAGAAATAAGTTGAAGGAAAAAGGGACCAGGTAAGCCTAGGTGAGCTGTTAAAGGATTACGTAAGTGGCGTGAATAATTAGAATCCCAGAGTAGGTGTTTCAGAATTAGTGCCCAAAGGAAAATTATGCAAACCACACTCCTCACCATAGTGTATCCAGCTGCCAGTTCTTACCTCTGTCCTGTATGACACACCTTGGTTTCCTCTCTCCTGAGCCTTATATGGTGTGTGTGTGTGTGCGCGTGCGTGCGCGTGTATGTGTGTGTGTGTGTGTGTGTGTGTGTGTGTGCATACGCTATGAATACATGTGCAGAGGCCAGAGAAGGACGTTAGGGGTCCTGCTCCACCACTCTTTGAGGCAGGGTCTGTCATTGTACCTGCAGCCAGGTGGGCGGCTAGCCAGACCCACAGCCTTCCCACTCTGCCTCTCACAGCACAATGTCACAGCTATGTGCAGCCACACCTGTCTAGCTGGGGACTCAAGCTCAGGTCCTTGTGCTTGCACACCAGGCGCACTTACATATCAAGCCTCCTCCCCATCTCCTAATGATAATTCCAATGCCTTGTATCGTATTTAGCTTCTGATTCATTGCTTTTTAATTTCAACAATTATGTTTTAATTTTTAACATTTGTTTGGTTCTTTTGTATATATGCCCATCTTTATTATAAAAGTTCTTGACTTTGAGTATTGTTTTAGATTTTTATTTTTTATAATTTATTTTATTTTACATACGTTGGTGTTCTGCCTGCGTGTATGACTGTGTAAGAGTGTCAGATCTTGGAGTCATAGACAGTTGTGAGCAGCTATGTGTGTGTGTGTTTGTCTGTCTTTCTTTCTCTGTGTGTGTGTCTGTCTCTCTTGCTCTGTGTGTGTGTCTGTCTCTCTCCCTCTCTGTGTATAAAATCTCTCTACTTTCCTGACTTTTAGGATTTTTACTGAGAAGTCCAATGTTATTCTGTTAGGATTGCCTTTGCAAGGTGACTTTTTTTTCTTACAGACTTTAAGATTTCTTTATTTTGTAGTCTTAGCAATTCCACTGTAAAGTGTGGAAGGGTTCTTCTCAGGTATGTTCGTTTGGAGTTCTAAATGTATCTTGTTCTTGAATGGCTGCCTCTTTGCTTACATTTAGGACATCTTCTACTGTAACTTTATTGAATATTTATTGTGCCTTTTTTTTCTGTGTTTCATGTGTTTGTATGTGGTGTGTGTGTGTGTGTGTGTGTGTGTGTGTGTGTGTGTGCATGTATTTGTACTCAGATGTGCTTGGGCACAGTGTGTAAGTGTTTGTGAAGCTCAAGGTTGACGCTGAGAATTTTATTCCATCTTTCAACCACTTGGAGAGAAAAGGGTTTTTTCAGCTTATGCTTTGACATCATAGTTCATCATTAAGGAAGTCAGGACAGGAACTCAAACAGGGCAGGGACCTGGAGGCAGGAGCAGATGCAGAGGCCATAGAGGAATGCTGCTTACTGACTTGTCCTTTATAGCTTGTTCAGCCTGCTTTCTTACAGAACCCAGGACCACTGACCCAGGGATGGCACCACCCGTTATGGGCCGGGCCTTCCTCCATCTATCACTGATTAAGAAAATGCCTACTTACAACCAGAGCTTCTGGAGGTTTTTTTTTTTTTTTTTTTTTTTTTTTTTTTTTTTTTTTTTTTTTTTTGGTTTTTCGAGACAGGGTTTCTCTGTGGTTTTGGAGCCTGTCCTGGAACTAGCTCTTGTAGACCTGGCTGGTCTCAAACTCACAGAGATCCGCCTGCCTCTGCCTCCCGAGTGCTGGGATTAAAGGCGTGCGCCACCACCGCCCGGCCTGGAGGTATTTTCTTAACTGAGGTTCCCTCCTCTGAGATGACTAGCTTGTGCCAAGATGACAATGGGCCGTGGTGTAATGCTGGTGTGAACAGGGACATACAAACTGTTCTTCTGCACCCGTTATTCTTCTGAGTCCCATTGAACTTTTGGTTCTATACCCAGAGGCAAAATGGCTGAATCATGCAGTTATTCCAGCCTTGGTTTCGAGAGGAGTCTACCTTTTTTATGTTCTTAGTAACAGTATACATGGCTTTCCATATTTGTTAGTTTCTACTTTGTTGTGGGTGAAGGGTGCTGTTGATAGCCTAATGGTTAGTGCCAGCTGATCTCTCACTGTGGGTGTTTGCTTATGTATTTGGTTTTGAAAACAGCTTCTCACATCTGCCAGTTTAGTTCCTTCCTTCTCAAGCTGCGGTCTTCTCTGACACCCTTGTATCCTGCTGGGGAACAGGCACCCCTGTCTCCGGCTCTGTGTGATGGCCGTTGTACAGCACATGTCTGCTTTCTCACCTGTTTTCCAGGTTGGACGAGGGAGTGTTTCCAGGAGTGGAGTTCCTACACCCGCCTGGCCATCCCCAGTATGTTCATGGTGTGCATCGAGTGGTGGACCTTCGAGATTGGGACCTTCCTTGCAGGTCTATCCACACCCAGGGGAACCTGCACACAGCCTGGGCAGTCCCAGTCCACACCCAGGGGAAGCCTGCACACAGCCTGGGCGGTCTCAATCCACACCCAGGGGAACCTGCTCACAGCTTGGGAAGTTACAATCCAGAATTTCTCAGAAATGAAAGCTCTGCTCCTAGTCTCTGGCATTTTGTAGGGTACGTGTCGGGGCTCGCGCTGCAGGCATGAGCCCTGAGCCAGCTGTAAGCACATGCAGTGGCCTGGCTTTCCCTCTGCTCCGTCCCCCTGTGTTTTGTGAACAAGAAAGGGGTGGCTCATGGAACGGGAGGACAAACTCCCCCACTCAGGTGTCCTGATCATCTGATCACCTTGCTGACTTTGACAGGCTTCCTTCCAGCTGAGCGTGGCTCTGTGTTAGCTATGATCTGCGCTTCTGCTGGAGCTATAATTATTTTGGTCTTATTTCTGGTAATGTTTATAGTTCAGACAGTAGCAGTGACGTTCTGTGGATGCTGCTTGCTTCAGTTGTCCCCAAAGCTGGTCATGCTGTCCTGCCTCCTTTCTCCCAGTGTGACTCCTGACACCTGCATCCCCAGGAGCATCATCCTACATCCCCAGGGTGTCTTCTGTGATGGAGCCGGGGTTTGTAGAGTGACCACATCAGTCTTCATGCCTGAGGTCTTGGCAGCTTGCCAAGAAGAGATGGCTAAGATTTTTGTATCTGGGTTATTCTTCTTAACTGGCTGGACTTCTCTGAAATGAAAGTATAGGACAGAAACTGGGGACACAGTACAGTTGCATCCTTGTAACACACATACACCTATGTATATATGTATAAAAATATATGTGTTCTAGTTTCATAAAGAAAATGGTTCCTCCGGTCTACTATTTGACTTGTATTATCTGCTGTTTCAGGCCTTGTTAATGTGACGGAACTGGGGGCCCAGGCTGTCATCTATGAACTGGCTTCTGTTGCCTACATGGTAAGAACATGGGTGACACTTTGCACTGTCCTTGCATTTAACAGATGTGGGTCGGTGGGAGGGAGGGAGGGAGGGAGGGAGGGAGGGAGGGAGGGTGTTCTCTTAGGCCATCCTGGCAAAGGGTTTATTAGCCATTTTGCATATATTTAAAAAAATTGTAATGGTGAGGGCAGAATGTAGGGCAGTTGAGAGTATTTATCATACTGGAAGCTCTGGACTCAATTGCCAGTGTCACACGCACAAACCCACACCCGTAATCACAGGGAGATAAGGAGTTCAAGGTCATCTTCTGCTACATAGTTGAGACCTCATCTCAACAAGTAAATAAACACAAAAAAATGAAAAAAAAAGTTGGTTGGTCATCTTGGAATACAACAGAAGACTGTTGAAGAGCAGACCCAGTGAACAGAAGGTAGGAATAGAAGGAATCTCAACCACAAGCCAGGAGGAAGCAAGTGCAGAGGTCGCGGTCGCGGCCAAGAGACGTGTGCAGAGGAAGCCAGGAATGGAGGAGGGGACGGTGGTGGTGCTAAGGCAGGTCCCTCTGGAATGGCTGTAGGAAGGGAAAAGGAGAGGCAGCTAAGGGGACGGGCTGCCTGAATTTCGGGGGTATGTGGTGGGTATGTGGAGGGAGGAGGATGGAGTTGTATGGCCAACAGTAGGCCTGCTGATCGTCTGTCGTGTTTAGGTTTCTGTTTCCCCACCTGTTATGTCACAGACTCCCAATTTTTTGTTACTGTTATTATTTATTGTTGTTTTTCTTATTTTGAAGAAGGGTCTTTCCATGTTCCCAGGCTGTCTTGAATTCTTGAATTTAAGTGATCCTCCTGCCTCAGCATCCCGAGTAGCTGGGACTACAGGCATGTGTCATCATGTGACTTTTACTTTTCATTGTGGTAAACATAGCTAACTGAACTCCCCTCCTTTGCCACTTACAGTCTGCAGTTTACTGACATTGGTGGCACTCAATGTTACACGGCCGTTCCCAGAACCTGTCATCTTGTCAAAGGAAGTCTGTATCCATCACATCCTCCCATCTCCCATCCCATCTCTGGCTCCTGTGGCCATCATCCACTACCTGTTTCTGTCACACACACACACACACACACACACACACTCACACACACACGGAGACTCAGGAATTCTTTATGGTTCTCACGGTAAACAAGACCTCCAGGAGGTTTTGTTATGGATGGATCTGGGGCCCTTGCTTCTCAGCAAAAACCCAGGAGAGAGATGTGGGAGTCTCATCTCCTAAGAGCTTTCAAAGGGAACTAGCAGGAGCTGAGCCCAGGCAGGGTCCGGCATCCTGGATTTGCATGCTTTTGGGAGGCCCTACAAACATCAAGACTTCTGGGGCCTGCAAATCCAAGGAAAGATCTTGCAGTGAGCACTTTAAACATTGACATGTAGGTAGCCTCCAACTCACAGAGATCCACCTGCCTCTGCCTCCCACGTGATGGGATTAAAGGCGTGTCCACCACACTCGGCCCATAGCTTTCCCCTTTTGTACAGTTCAGGGCACCAGACTAAGGGCTTGTGCCACCCATAGTGGGTAGATCTTCTCACTTTGATCTCATCAAGACAGTCCCCTGCAGGCATGCTCAGAGTCTGGTTTCCCAGGTGGTTCTAGATCCCATCAGGTTGACAGCTGTACTTTGTCTGTCCCACCATCAGCAACATTATGGAGTTCAGCTCCACCAACCTTCACCGAGTCCCGCAGGAAGAGTTCTCGGTGCTTTTCATGTTGGTGGTTCAGTCTTTAGAAACTGTTTATCTACTGTATCTAGATAAATAGACCTAAATCTGATCTTGTAGACTGTATTTTAAACTAAGTTATGATAATGTTTGTGTCTTTGCCAATAAAGGAAGCCCCACCCCCTGACAAATCCAGCTGTGCTCTGGCTTGCTTGGATTAAGGCTCTATGGGGGCAGGTGTGAGCCACACTGCTCACTAGTGACGAAATTGGGTTTCAAGGCAGTTGAGCCGATTGTTCTTAGTCACACAGCTTGGATGCAGCAAGAACCCTCTCTAGATGCTAGATTGTAAAGCTGTCTGGAGTCTCCATGTGGTTGGACCCTACTGCATTAGCATCAGGTTTCCTTTTTTGTTTTTTTTTTTTTTAATTTTTATTTAACTGGGACTTCTGATTGCTAATTCCCAGGTGCCCTTTGGCTTTGGTGTGGCTGCCAGTGTCCGAGTGGGCAACGCTCTGGGGGCAGGGAATGCTGAGCAAGCCCGGCGTTCCTGCACCACTGTTCTCCTGTGTGCTGGTGAGCTGTCTCTGTGGTGCCGGTGCTGAACTGGGTGCAGTGTCTGTGCTTCTACAGCATGGTACCTGAGGTGGATAAACTTGCTAAGAACGAAGTTCATTTCTCACAGAATTTGGGGCCGATCAAGTCCTAGATCTAGGTACCACCAGGTCTGGTTATCTAGTGAAGTCAGCCCTCAGCTTCCAGGGTCTGCTCCCCACCCCACCCCCACCCGCCCACTCCGCCGCCCCAGTCAGGCGCTTTTAGAAAACACCTATCCCGCGCCTAGCAGCATGGCCCTCATGACTCAGTTAAATTTCCCGGTAAATTTCCCATGCAAATCTCCCATGAGAAACTTTGTCACGTTCTGGAAAACTGTTCTTTCTCATGACTCCTTTTGTGTTTCCCAGGTGTCTGTGCGCTCCTGGTGGGAATTCTGCTTGCAGCCTTGAAGGACGTGGTTGCCTACGTATTCACCAACGACAAGTAGGTCGTCGTCTGTGCTTTCTTCCCAGCCTCCTCTGGTTAGGAGGGGGCGTTGCCCTTGGCTTCCCAGGAAAGCTTGTAGCACAGCCAAGGAGAGGTAGGCGAGGAGGAGAAACAGGCTTGAATGATGCAAGCCTGTGCGATTCCACCCCGCTCCTGCCGTTCCCACGCCATTCTTCAGACCTGAGTGGAGTTTTGCTCTGAGAAACACAAGAAAGCCTGTGGGTTAGTCTCAACCCCAGAGGCGCCTTAAGGGGCAGCGCTCTGTGGTGGCCAGCCCCTCCTTTGAGGCTGTGTTTGCAAAAGTCACGGACTCAGTCTTACACTTTTATTGTGTTTTCTGTAACAGGAATTACAGAATGATTTATGTTTAAGAAATCATCTATCGAATAAAATAGACAATTATCAACCTGGTCTGTTGGAACAGACCTGTAATTGCAGCTATTCAGGAAGCAGGGACAGGTAGATTGCAAGTTCAAGGCCAGTTTTGCACAACTTAGTGTGACTCTGTCTCAAAATAAATAATTTTTTAAAAGAAGAAAAACTCTATAGTGTCAGAACTTCTATATATTAGTAAAATTTAATGACTATGGTTTTATCATATACTTAAAATCTAATGTTTGCCCTGGATTGTTAGACTTGTGATTTAAAAAAATAGTGTGTGCACATGCCCATGAACACAAGCTCTTGAATGTGTGTGCCACAGTAGTGTGGGGAGGCCAGGGGGCAACTTATGGGAGTTGATTCTCCTTTCACCATGTGAATCCTGGGGCTGGAGCGCAGGTCATCAGCTTAGTTGAAAGCACCTTTATCCACAGAGCCATCTCACAGAGAGTGTCTAAGTCACTGACTGCTGTCTTCCTCCCGAACAGGGACATCATTTCCCTTGTGAGCCAAGTGATGCCCATTTTTGCTCCCTTTCACCTGTTTGATGCACTTGCAGTAAGTATGCAGCGGTTTCACTCTGATATCTGAAAATCGCATGTCTGTGACTTAATGTTTGCATGTCTGCCAAGGGTCCTTGCCTGGCTCCCATCTAACGGAATGCCAGCCATGACATGGTGACTGCTGGATCCGTCCAGGCAGGCGGGGTCGTGGTGAGCTAACTCTGACCTCTAGGTCTCTCCCTGGGCTGGTCTTCTGTGGACCTGTGGCTGCTTAAAGACCCTTTGGCCACATTCCAGAACCATCCCTGGAGGCTTATTCTTAGCACGAGCCGAGCCGTTATTCTTTGTGGCGTGACTTACAAGCGGCACTGACGCTTGGCTTTCCTTCCTTTGGGGTTTCCTCCACTTCCTCCACATCGCTCTGGAGGTGGGTGCCCATGGGTGGGCACAGCAGTGGTTCTGTCTGTCGCTGTGACAGAATCCACGACCAAAAGCAACTTGGGGAGGACAGGGTTTATTTGATTTACTCATCAGGATCCAGCATTAAGGAAGCTAGGCAGGAACTCAAGCAGAGATTGTGGAGGAAGGCTGCTTATTGCCTTGGTCCTCTCGACCCTGCTGCCCAGGGTTGGCACCGCCCGCAGTGGGCTGGTCCCTCGCACATCAATCATTAATCAAGACAACGCCCACAGATACGCCCACAGGCCAGTGTGATGGAAGAAACTCCTCTTCCTAGGTTCTCTCTCCTTAGGGACTCTAGTTTGTGTCGGTGGACAGTGCCCAGTACACGGCTTGACAGCTCTGGAACAGAAGCTGCTGCGCTCCTCAGCGGTTTTTAAAACAGGACGGTTTCCTCCATCTGTGACACCTGCTTTGGGCAGGGTGCTCTGTGGGGCAGCGGCACTGTACTCTGAACTTGATGTGATGAGCTGTGCCAGCCTGCAATGTTGCTGTCGGTTTCCTCCCTGCAGGGCACCTGTGGCGGGGTCCTGAGAGGGACAGGGAAGCAGAAGATAGGTGCGATCCTTAACGCCATCGGTTACTACGGGTTTGGTTTCCCTGTCGGAGTGTCTCTGATGTTTGCTGCTAAACTTGGGATAATAGGTATGCGTTTGATTCCTTAGCGAGTCACCAGATCTCACTGTTGTAGTCAAATCATTCGCTTGAGGTGTAAAGTGGCTGGCTGGAAAGCTGGTCTGTGGGAAGGGAGGCGTTCCTGCACGATGCCTGCTGCAGTGGCAGTGGGGACTGAACTATTGGTTCTCATGCTTTCGACGCTCCTAGTGTTTCTCCACTAAAGGGCACGATGGATCTGGGACTGCAATGTGCACGTGTGCATTTGACTTTAAGTCATGCCCAAAGAAGTGTTTGTGGAGGGGCTGTGAGGTGATTTAGTGGATGGAAGCACTAGCCATGTGCTCATGACCTCGTCCAGTCCCTGGAATCCACTGTGAAAGCAGAGAACTTATTCCTAAAAGGTTTCATCTGACATAGTACATGTACCCACACTGTCACACACACATCGTACACCCATATATTGTTACATACACACATAATCACACACACACCACTATTTATACATAATCATAAACACACAACCATAATACTCAATTACATATACACTTAATCACAAACACAATTATGTATATACAATCATACATAATTACATACACAAATAATAAATTAAAATGGAAAAGAATTGACTGTAGAATCTGTTTTATGGAATGTTTTTAACAAAAATGTCTGAAGATTTGACAAATGCTGTTTTGTTGGAAACAATTCTGTAATTTTTAGCCTTAGATGGACTGTGAAGGTGGGGATACTGTCTTCCTTGTGATCATCCTGATTAGGATATGCTAATCGAGCTGCTAGTCTTCTATGTTCTATTTATGTGACTGTGGAAACTCACTGTGGTTTCACTTTTTGTGTATTTTTATTCGTGTGCATGCTTGAGCCCATGGCCTGGCGTGAGCTAGCCGAGTGTTCTGCTACTGAGACACTCCCTTGTTAGAGCCTACTACGACTAATGTTGCTTATACACAATGCTTACTTCATAAATAAGTCCAAACTTTTTGTATGCCCCAATGCAAGATAAATAAGATTTATCTATTTTTGTAAGCATTTAATGGAATTCTTCCATGAAGCTGTGTAACCTGGGATTTTTAAAGAATTTTTTGCACCTGAGAGCAGTTGTTTCTGTTTGGACTTTTTCTTGTGTCAACAGGAATAAACTATGTAATTATTAGAAATGCTTTATTGAGGATCAAAACATGTAGAATTGTGCCAAGTAATTTAAAAGCTGTTTTGAGTATATATTCATGTTTTTATTTTCTATATATTTCTACATAATAAAGCATTTCTAATAATTACATAGTTTATTCCTGTTGACACAAGAAAAGGTCCAAACAGAAACTGAGCTGCTCTCAGCTTAAAGTAGCAATGAATTTTCTTTCCTATTAAAAGTAGTACAGTTGGGGTTGGAGAGATGGCTCAGTGGTTAAGAGCACTGGCTGTTCTTCCAAAGGTCCTGAGTTCAATTCCCAGCAACCACATGGTGGCTCACAACCATCTGTAATGAGGTCTGGTGCCCTCTTCTGGCCTGCAGGCATACACACAGACAGAATATTGTATACATAATAAATAAATAATTTAAAAAAAGTAGTGCAGTTGGATCTGGGATGCCTGTCACGCATGACGCCCTGGGCTACATCCTCAGAACTGGTTCTTAAAGTCTAGTTAGAGAACGGCATGACTGCCCTCATATGTGTGAAAATCACTCTTCCCACTCTTTGTCCAAGCAGCACATTTTTTACTATGAATCAAATTTTATTTCTCCCATTTCTTTGCAAAACTCAAAATGGCAGCTGGCAGAGGAGATGTGTTGCGTCTTCATTCCTCTGGGGGGCGCTTGATTGGTTCCTGTTTACAAAACACAGGGGAGGAGCATCCAACATATACACACCACTCACATGGTCCTGAATAAAGTCACATCTAAGGATGTACACCTCCACCCCAGCTACATCTCGGCTGTAGGGATTACCCCAGCCTCCGCCTAGTGTCTGCAGGAGTAAGTGTGAGAATCGATGTCAGCAAATGACTTGGGAGACGAAGTCCCAACTTGAAGTGTATTTCAACTCTGCACAGTGGGCTCTGCTTGGACTGTTGACTTTCAAGTGATTAAAAATAGTTTCTTCTGGAGAGATGGCTCTGGGGTTAAGAGCAGTTGCTGGTCTTACAGGGGACCCTGGTCTGTCTCCCAGCACCTATATGGCCACTCACAACCGGATCTAGCACCCTCTTCTATCTTCTCTGGGCACTGCACACACGTGATGCAGTTACATGCAGGCAAAACACTGATACACATAAAATAAAAATCTATAGTTGTTTCTCCTCATACATATTTTTTATGTAACTCTCTTGGAGTTTTAATATTTTTTAAGATTTATTTATTTAATATGTGTGTACCCGAGTGTATCTGTGTGCAGTGCCTGGGGATGCCAGAAGAGGGCGTCAAATCTCTTGAAATGGGAGTTACAGACAGTTGTGGGACTCAAACCTGTGTCCTCTGCAAGAGCAGGAAGTGTTCTTAACCCCCGAGCCATCCCTGCATCCCCAAACGCTCCATAGTTTTCATGTAAAGTTAGAGGAATGTCTTCCAAGCGAGCTCCTTCTTTCCTCCCTCTGGCTGTTTCCCTCTCTTTCCTCCTTCCTTCCCTCTTCTTCCTCTGCCTCCTCTTCCTTCTCCCCACTTTCACTCTGTACCCCAGACTGACTTGGAACTCACTATAAATCCTGGAAAAGCCTCAAACCTTTAACTTCCTGCTTCAGCCTCTTAAATGTTGGAATTGTCGGCATGAGCCGCCACGCCTGGCATCAAAGCAAGTTTTTGAAAATACCAGACCTCACACCCATCCATGCAGACACCAGTCTGAAACCCTTTCGTGAGTTCCAATTACCATGGACAAATAGTAACCCTTGGATATTCCTGTGGCTCACGTGTCCTCCATGCTCTTCCGTCTACCTTGTCACTTCCTACCTGGCCTCTCTGCTCACGAGGCTCCCGAGCTGGCCTCTTCCGGTAGCGTGCTCCTCCTGCCTCCGTTTGTACGGCTGGCCTGCAACCTCCCTAGGCTGGTTCAGGACTCTACCTCAGAAGACACCTGGCCACTCACTCAGACGGCACTGCGGGCCATCGCTAATGACCAGAGACTCACACACCTAGCACTCTATATTTCCGGTGTGTTTCTTTGCTCATCGTCTGTCCTTCAGTGACTCTAAAAGCTCGATGACAGACTGTGGTCTATCCAATTTTTTTTTTTTCGAGACAGGGTTTCTCTGTGGCTTTGGAGCCTGTCCTAGAACTAGCTCTGTAGACCAGGCTGGTCTCGAACTCACAGAGATCCGCCTGCCTCTGCCTCCCGAGTGCTGGGATTAAAGGCGTGCGCCACCATCGCCCGGCTTCCTTTTTTTTTTTTTTTAGAAGTTAATTTAACTGAATTTTTGCTCCACTGACTGGGAATTATCAGGGAAGAATTTTAATGATTACTGGGGCGGAACTGATGGCTCTGATGCTCATTTTGTGCCCACAGGCCTCTGGTCTGGACTGGTAGTCTGTGTTTTCTCCCAAGCTGTCTCCTATTTAATCTACATCAGGAGGACGAACTGGAATAGAGTTGCAGAGCAGGTAACAATCTCCGTGTTGTTTTAAAGTGCATCAACACTTGATCCCGTCGTTGGCAAGGCATCTTTTGGGGTGAAGTGATAAATAAAATCCCACCAGTTTCAAGACAAACAGTGCATCATGAACCACGTTGGTTACGTGGGGAGGCCAAAGGGAGACAGAAAGATGGTTTCTCCTAGATAGAGCTGACTGGTGTCTCCTGACCACAGGACTCAGCCCCAGAAAACTGAAATTGGCAACAGTATATTTTTGTTTTTCTATAAAATTGTGTTAGAAAATAGTTTCCTGTTTATGCCAATTAGCTCTTCTAAATGCTTCAATTAAAAACCTTTTTTTTTTGTCCATTCTTACAAAGTTAAATTTTTTTAAAAGGCTAAATATTTGTGATTTGTGGGACCTGTGGGCAGGGGTGGTGGCCCACATGAGTGTGAGCAGAGATGGCTCATCTCACTGTGGGGAGGCCTAATGTAAGACACGGTGGGTGGCCAAGAGCAAGAACTCTTAATTAGGGGGAGGAACTCAGGAATTCTGGCTGTTGCCTTTTAGTTTTGTGATCCCTCTGGCTTTGCCTAATGGTGATCACGTTGGTTTGTTGAGGGAATGGACTATGTAGAATATTGACTTGGGGGCTGGAGAGATGGTTCAGTAGTTAAGAGAATTGACTGCTCTTGCAGAGAATTCCTCTTTGGTTCCCAGCATCCATATGGTAGCTCACAACTTCCTGTAACTCCAGTTCCAGGGGACCCAGTGCCCACTTCTGGCCTCCATGGATACTGCATAACCTGGCCCACAGGCATTCAAGCAGGCAACATCCCATATCCATAATTAAGCCTTAGGAAAAATTGCTATTGACTTGGTCAGTACACTAGCTTCTAGATGGTGATGTCATTGACTGTTAGAGTTGGTCCTTTTATCCGTATTTGGAGACACTAAAGGAATAAGTGCAAACATGGTAAGCTGTCAGGGGAGCACTGGGAGATTAGTCATTTTCTGGTGTGACCGACGTTCTCGTGGCCAGGAAAGGCTGTGTCCAGTATTATAGCCTTTTAGCTCTAGCTTTAAATCGAAGTTTTAACAAAAAGCTACAGCTGGACTCCATCTCTACTTCATTTACTCATGTAGCCTTGTTTTTAGGCACAAGTTCGAGCTGGGCTAAAAAGCGGCAAAGAGATGATACCCACCCCAGCAGGTAATGGGCCACTCTCTTTACGGTTCTGTTTCTGCTCTAAGTATGAAGCTCTGTTGTCCAGAGAGGTCGAGTCTGTGAGTTCGGGCTCTCGTGACAGTAACGATTGTTTCTGCCATAACTTGCCAGACCAACTCTAAACTCTCCTGTTAAATGTTTCTTACGTAATTTCACATATACTAACCGACGATTGAGGGTCATTTTTGTTAATACCACAGTGACAAAGTGAATGTCCCACTGCCCTCTTCAAACAGAAAGAGACGCTATCGATGGAGTGATTTTGCCAGACATCGTCAGACCGGAGGTCCAGACGGGCCCGCTGGTAGTAGAAGAAAGCCAGCATGCAGTGCCCACCGTCGGGGAGATCTTGACAGGGAGACAGCTGATCGTCTATCGTGGCTTGGCCCTGGCTGTTTCCATTGCCGTCCTCATAGCAGGAATCGTAGCGCGAGTTCTCAATGATCGTGGCTAAGATAGGCTTCTCACCGGTCTGTGGACTGGTGATTATTGTGTACCACGTCCTGATCATGGGCGGGAGCTTGTTGTTGGAACAGAAGCCTTCTCTTAACTGTGGGTAGAAGGGCTGCCAGCAAGCATCCTTGGTTACACTGAGAGACCGCCCCACTCTACTGCAGGTCAAGAAGATGCAGTAGGCTTGCCTAGTGTGTGCAAGGCCTCTGTTGGATGGTCAGCACCAGGGTTTGTGGGTGGGGTGGGGGGAGAATGAACAAACGAATGAATGGCTATCCAAACTGCGGGGCGTGCTAGGGATAGAGTGCACAGACATCAGCACCTGCTAGGCAAGTGCTCCACCACTGAGCACTCCCACATTCCGGAAGCCCTGCCTTTAAGGATGCTTTCACGTTATCATGGTTTCCAAATATGTCAGTTTGATTTTCCCTACTGGAAATGTACCTTACCCACCCCTGCATCCTCCGCTGCCGGATCCTCACGGTGAGTGAGTGTCAGGTACCCTTCTCCCTGTCTGGGTGCCACAGAAGCACTTATAAAATAAATACCTAAGATTTACAAGGCACGCTGAGAATATTTGAGGACATGATGTTATTATAAATGGTAGCTTTGGGGTTTTACCTTTAAACAATTTTCATACTAATTAGGAAAGATATGGATTCTTGTTTTGTTTTGCTTTTGTTTTTTGTTGGTCCTTGACTCCCACAATGCTTTGGTTTGGTTTCACTTTCCAGGACAGACATTTTTATAGCTTAATCTAAAAAATTTGGTCAATCCTAAGATAATTTTTTTAATACTATATACTAAAAGCGAAACAAAACAAAAACAAAAGCAAAGAGCACCAGGCATTTCCTAACACAAAGCTCCCGAGTTACCCACAGTGGAGTACAGAGCCCTGCAGTTTTAGTCAGCTGCCGTGACTGTACCATAAACCTGGTGATATTGGCAGACACAGAGAAAACTTTTTATTTGTTTTGGAATCTTCATCCGTGGTCAGCTGCTGGGTTGTCTTGGGGAGTCTGTGATGGAGCAGAGAGGCTCCCTTCGTGACCTGGAGACAATGGAAAAGAAAGAGGCGGGGCTCTGGCTATCCATCCATGGCCAGGCTGCCAGGGACTGGACGTCCTCCCAGACCCCACCTCTTAAAGGTTCTCAGTCTGCCACGAGCGCTGTACTGGAGACTAAGCCTTTAACACATGGTCCTTAGTGAACACTTCGCTTATTTGATTTGCTGTCTTAAGGGTGAGAAGACAATCCAGGATCATCAACTCTCTCTGGAGAGCTGATAAAGAAACCCATAATAAATAGTGAGTTTATAAGGATTAAAAACTTACATCCCCAAAGAGACAATAGAATATATTAGAACCACATCCCAGAGCAGGACGCTATAGGATAAAACATTTTGAGGTAAATTTAGACTGCATACAATGCGCCGTCTGTGAGCGAGGACCTCAGCGACATTCAGTTCAAGTGCGCGGTCATAACTCTCACCTAGTTGTAAAGCATTTCATCGTCCTCTCCCCAAAACTCGCGTTTATCAAGAGGGCACTCAAGTCCCTTTCCTCCAGCCCCCAGCTAACACCAGCCTGCTTTCTGTTTCTGTGGATTTACCGCTGGAGTACTGAAGGACCACGTCGGATGCTTTGACTCTGCTTCTTGAGACTCCTCCCCCTGAGCCACGCCCATCTGGTCCTTCCTTTCCTGGCTGAGAGATAGATACATCTACGCTGCTTCCCTCTCAGCTGGTGTGAACAGTGCTGGTGTGATCGTTCACACACAGGGTCTCTGTATACACACCTGTCGCACTCCTTCCGAATACGTCCTGGGAATGGGTCGAGTTATACTGCGGTTCTGCAAGTTTTAGGGGCACTTACAGCAGGACAGACGGGGAAACTACGGGGATGTGGGAAAGAGAAAGGACCCACGCTCCAGAGCTTGCCAGTAGAGATGCAAGAACCCCAGCATTTACTGTGAATGCTGCCAATATAAAGATAATATTTCTTTCACATTTAGCTATTAGATGTCAGTGAATCAGGCTTAAAGCCAGAATGCATATGATCTTGAGTAGGGCCTCACTTTTCTCCTAGATTAGCAGTTCTCAACCTGTAGGTCACGTCCCTTTTAGGGGTCCAACGACCCTTTCACAGGGGTTGCATATCAGATATCTTACATATCAGATAGTCACATTACAATTCATAACAGCAGCAAAAGTATAGTTATGAAGTAGCAATGAAATAATTTTATGCTTGGGGGTCACCACAACATGAGGGACTGTATTAAAAGGTTTCAGCGTTAGGAAGGTTGAGAACCACTACCCTAGATATTTTCTGGGAATCACAAATAATGCTGTTTTCATTTTCTGTGGAGACAGCCTGTCTTCCTGCAACCCTGTGCTCTGCACTTGAACACCACAGACTGTAAAATCCTGTCAAGTGGCCCTGGGGACTGTCTGGTGGTCTCACTCAGGTTCCTTAGCAACTCTTAGAAGATAATAGCTTCAAAACCCAGCACTTGTGAGGCAGATGCAGGTGGATCTCTGTGAGTTTGAAGTAAGCTTTGTGAGTTCTAGGGCAGCCAAGGCTACACTGGGAGACTCTGTGTCTCAGAAACAGTGAAGACAAAACCCCTGCTAAAATGGCTACAGGACTGTTGTAAAAGACCGTGGAGGAGGGCGAGTTCCTTCAAGAAACCTGCACGCATGCTCGTGGGCGCTTCTCACTTTCGGAACCCCTCTCTTCCTCTTAATCCTTATGCTTAAATTCTTTCTTAAAGTGCCTTTTAATAAACCCAGCCTTCCTTCATACTAATGTGTCTTCAAAGTCTCCTACACTGAGGACAAAGGCCTGGCCCTAGAGTCACACGCAAAGCAGATGGTGCTCTTCAGGAGTGGGACTGGATTAGCTGCGCATGTGTATTGTGAACCCCAGGGCAATAACTGTACAAGGAAAAGGTGAGCTGACTGGTATGCCAAGATAAAAGAGCATCTGAAAAAATTGCTCAGTTAAAACCAGGAGGGCAGAGGCAGAAAAAAGAAAAAAAGCAGAATAACAAACATAAAAGGTAACAAATATTACTTCGTCTCAGCAGTGAGGAACACTGACTGCTCCTGCAGAGGACCCAGGTTCGATTCCCAGCACCCACACAGTGGCTCACAACTGTCTCTAACTGCAGTTCTAGGGCATCTGAGCCCTCTCTGGGCCTCCGTGTGCAGTGCAGACATATGGTGCACACACATGCATGCAGGCAAAACACCCATACATAAAATACAAATAAATCTTTAAGAAAAGAATCTGCACTGCAGACAGAAAGACACCTGTGAATTCTCCTTCCCATCCCTGAGGAGTGGATCCTTTTACAGTTGTTAAGCCTACTTTGGTGGTACTTTAGGGTAGCTGAGAAGGAGGTCAGCCAGCTGTAATCCACAAGGGTAAGGCGCTAGTTTTCTTCTTGGTGAGCCCCCTGCAGCATGGTACAAGAACAGCCACAGCCCCTCCGGAGTGAACCCATATATTGTTCTATCTAAGTTGTTAGGATCCGAAACTGAGCCCTGCAGCTCTAACTACCTAGGCTCAGCACCTGTCTTCAATTAGGCAGACAGGAGATGGCGAAAAGCCAGGAACAGAGATTCAGCCAATTTAGAACATTGGGAGGGGGAACTGATGAACAGGTCCCGTGAGCCCCCAGCCCATCCCCACCCCCGGGCCCCAGGCCATCTTCAGGGCCCTGGTACGAAGTTCAGTTTAAACAGAGAGCAATGAGTAATTAGGGCCTGATCGGCGTGTAGCCCGGCCGTTATCCCTGCACCAGCTTCCGTCTCTTCTGTCAGGAGGCCTGAGAAGTCAGACCTGTGTGAAATCTTGCTGGGAATGAGTTCCTCTTCTGGTTGGCACCAGGCTTCAGCCTTTTTCTCCTCCCAGCATGAGACCCCTAGGTAAATTTTGATTTCTTGGCATCTGAATTAACCTTCTCTAAGGAAAGAGAATTGATAGAATGTGTATGTGTGTTTGTGGTGTGTGTGTGGTATGTATGTCTGTGTGTTATGTATGTCTGTGTGTGGTGTGTATGTGTGGAGTATGTGTGTGGTGTGTTTGTGGTGTGTGTTATGTATGTATGTGTGTGGTGTGCATGTGTGTGTGTGGAGTATGTGTGTGTGGTGTGTGTGTATGTTATGTATGTGTGGTGTGTATGTGTGATGTGTAGGTGTTTATGTGGTGTATGTGTGTGTGGTGTGTATGTGTGTTTTATGTATGTATGTGGTGTGTATTTGTGTGTGGTGTGTATGTATGTGTGTGTTATGTATTTGTGTGGGGTGTGTGTGTGTATACATATATTGGCTTCATCCTCCGTGTAGTCCAGCAATGGCCACCTTACACTGGAGAGACTGAGAACCGGCAGTTGCTCAGTCCATGAGGCTGGACGTCTCAGCTGTCCCACCCTGGCCCTGAAAGCTTGGAGAATTCCTGGAGAGCTGCACTCCAGTCTACGCTGAAATAACAAAGAACTCGGTTCTAATATTGGAGAAAATATCGCGGCAATAGGAGAGATGAACTTGCCATTGAGAGTGAGGGCGAACAGTTTCCTTCTCCCACATCCTGTTCCCCAGCTGCGAAAGGAAGGTGCTGCTCTCATTCAGAGTGTGTCTGCCTGCTTCAAACACTCAGGAAAACCCCTCACAGGAGGGCTGAGCAGCCTGTGTTTATTCCAGACGCAGTCAGGTTGACAACCTTTAGGAGGCCTGTTGTCTCAACAGTCAGGTCTCCAAAGAGATCAACAAGGCCAATGTCCTTCCTGCCAGGCCATTCCTCTCTCCCTCACCCCTTTCCCATGCATGCCACTGTTCTCAGAGCAGAGGGAGCTGAGTGCGTGCACCTGCTGTTTCCTCTGCCAGGTGTCCTGGCCAGAGAGACTTGGCTTTCTCTAGGATGGTGAGTCCTCCCTCACAGTTGGCTTGCGGCCATTTTCAGCTTGCGAGTAGCCCTTCAAGGTCAGCACCCTGAACAACCAGACAGGTTAAGCTCCAGAGTTAGGTTGGGAAGGCCGTTCCCTTAGGGATGCCCAGAAAGAAAGCAAGTCTCGGGAGTCAATGTGGGCAGACCGGGGTGTGCTCCTTGCACACAGGACGTCTGTCGCCCTAAGCGAATCCTTCATCACTGTAACTTTAACAAAACCCACAAAGGGTCTCACATTGTCCTCTCCTACTCACCCCACCATGTATTAAAAGTGAAAAAAGCTAGTCTAAGTTTGATCCTCAGAATCTTAAAAAAGAACAACAACAACAAAAAAAAACCCACATGTTTCCTTTATAAGAAAACTCAGCCTTTATCATGTTTCTGAAAGGGAACACTGGCTGCCTAATGGCACTCTGAGCTATAGCTGTCTCCTGCAGTTAGACTGCTCTTGTAACTTAGGAAAGGATTCTAAGATTTGCATGAGAACCCGCATCCCTCACGAGAGTCTCACTCTCCAGTAAACTCAGCCCTGGAGGACATTTTTGATAGCGCCTCCTTCACACAAAGCTCCACTCAGCCTCCAGCTTTTCCAATGCCAGCCATGTCTTCTCTTAATAACTCTGCTCCCATCTTCTCTCAGACCTCTCTTCCCCTTCTTCTTCCCCTTCACTCGTCTCCATCCACAAAGCTTTCTCTAACCACTCCTCAAGAGGGTCCAGAGGCTCTTGTGGCGTCTATAATACTGACTCTCCTGTTCAGTGATAGCTGTGCACTTTCTGGGGCCTGCTAGCTGCCCTCCCCCCATAATCTCTGCTATAGGCCCTCACATCATCCAACAAGCTTCTCCTCAGTCAGGGATAACTCAGTTCCAGGAAACTCACTGACAGCCACATTTTCCTTCAAGGGTCCTAACGTCCTTTAAAGGCTGAGGAAACGCAGCCTCATGGTAAACTTCTGATCACCGGGCTATTGAAATAGTCCTCATAATGCTCCATGCAAAGCCCCATTCGGGCAGTAAAGAAGTCAAATGGAACCCACAGACTATTGCAGGACCTGAAGACCATAAATGAGGTGTTCTGGCCCGTCCTATAATCCCAAATCTTTACACCCTTTGGAAATAGATATCCCCCAATGCCTCCTGGCCCACAATGTTAGGTTAAGGATGGTTCTTTTGTGTTCACATCCTCCTAGACCCAGTTCCCATCTGCTGTAGAATACTGAACCCCAACACCCAGCTTACTCAGCGGCTTTTCTGGATTGTCTTATCTCAGGGCTTTTGAAATAGTCCCACTTCTTCTGATAGGCACTAGCCAAAAACGTGTCCTCTCTTACCAACCCTTCCCTCCCCACCTCATGCTCCCAGGAGTAGCCCCCTTCAGTATAGCTAACTAAGGAATCAAGGACAAAGAAAAACCTACTTCAGATCAAACATCACTAGTGTGCCTTGTGTGGTTAGGTTTTTCCTTCAAAGGCCCAAATCTCTCAACAAAAGGTCCAATTCTTGGGCCTTATATTAATCAGAGGCAAAATAAGCCTTTTCTGTCAAACTATAGAAGTTCCAAACTACTAGCTAGGAACTACACAAAACTATACAAAATGCGAACACGGCAAGGCTTTGCAGGACTGAGATTCTCTAGCTTAGGCCGTATAGCTAAACTTTCTGAGGCCTTGCAGTCTGTCCATCTGTGTGGTGAAGTTTGCATGCTTCCCATGACAGCTGTCAGTCTGGCCCAGTTCATCCCACAGCAGCTGTGGGCATGGCCCAGCAAGAAGACCACACACTTACTTAAAATGTCATGAAGTTTTTTCCAATTTTTCCCCCAACCTGATGACACAGTTCTCAAGGGGGAACTTTGTAGATGACAGCATCAAGTCAATGTCGAAAGGTTGGACACATCTATGAGGGACAAGAGGAGTTATCTATTAGATGGGATCTCTGGAATGGCACAGGCCCCAGGCCTCCTAAAGCGGACACTCCTTTTGGTCCCATTGCTAGCGCTTCCTAATGGTGCATCTTTTCTCTGTGTATACATAATCAAGGAGGTGGGGGGACTTGACCCAAACCTTGGGACCTCCCTAGCACCCAGTAGCTTCTCTCTATGAGTCACTAGTTTTGGTGGCACTGGGATGGCTCTTTCCCATCAGGACACTGTCAACTGTGGTTCTCTTGTTGAGACAGCAGCTATATCAACGCTGGGACTGACTGGGAAGACTCACTTCCTTCACTAGGTCCTTGAAGCCGCTAGATTGCA